AATTTATACATCTCCATGCATATCACAAGGTTAAAATTTCTTTTTGGATTTGGTTTGTTTCATGGGTTTGGCTTAGAGTTGGTAAATCTTGTTTTTCTTTCATGGGTTTGGCTTAAATTTGTCAAATTTTTAAAATTCTTTTCGATTAATACATAGTTTGTTCTTGTCTTAATTTCATGTGTTAATGAGTTTGTTTTCTTGCCTTAAACCATTTTTATGAGATAAATTTTCCGGAATTAGAAGATGGTGGTTTTGTTGCACGGACGAGAATTTTCCTAAAAGTAGAAACTTTGAAGAGCTATGTTATGTGGTTGGATCTATTCATTTATTTGGTCTTAATTTCTTATCCAAATTCCATTATTCTCTCAATTTTCCTCATTTGGGGTTTTGATAATAATCCATAGATAACGAATGAAACCTACTCCACCATCAAAACATCCTTCTGAGATGACAAGAAAATGAAAAAAGCATAACCTAAAAAAGGAAATTAAACCCACTTGCTCAAAAAAAAAATGTCGGTTCTTTGGATTTTAACACTAATCAATAATTAATTTTACATTATTGGCAGAAACAATTGGCAAGCATGGTGGAGAAAGCATCTATTGAAGATGTGATGAAAGTGTTAATAGCATCAAGGAAGCAAGACATGCATCAATTATGGACAACTTGCTCTCATTTAGTCGCTAAATCAGGTCTACCTCCGGAGATCCTAGCCAAACATATCCCCATCGATGTGGTCGCCAAAATCGAAGAGCTTCGACTCAAATCAACCTTAGCTCGCCGTTCTCTAATGCCACATAACCACCACCATGATCTCACCGTGGCTCAAGACCTCGAAGATCAAAAGATTAGAAGGATGAGACGAGCTTTGGATTCATCTGACGTGGAGCTAGTGAAGCTAATGGTTATGGGAGAAGGACTCAATCTTGATGAGTCCTTAGCATTGCATTACGCTGTTGAAAGTTGTAGTAGAGAAGTTGTGAAGGCTTTGCTTGAGCTTGGAGCAGCTGATGTGAATTACCCTGCGGGTCCCGCGGGGAAGACACCGCTACACATTGCGGCTGAGATGGTCTCTCCCGACATGGTGGCTGTTTTGTTAGACCACCATGCCGATCCGAATGTTCGGACGGTCGGTGGAATCACTCCTCTTGATATCCTTAGAACGTTAACCTCGGATTTCTTGTTCAAGGGGGCAGTTCCTGGATTGACTCACATTGAACCGAATAAGCTCAGGCTTTGCCTAGAGCTTGTTCAGTCCGCTGCGATGGTGATATCTCGAGAAGAAGGAAACAATAACAACAATGATCACAACAACTCGATTTACCCTCATATGAATGAGGAGCACAATAGTGGAAGTAGTGGAGGGAGTAATAACAATTTGGATTCAAGATTGGTGTATCTCAATCTTGGAGCGGGTACGGGTCAGATGGGTCCGGGTCGTGATCAAGGGGATGACCATAACAGTCAGAGGGAAGGTATGAGTCGG